TTTTGAAATTAGTTGAATATGTGTCCACCCTATCTAAAAACTTTGGGAGGCAAGCCAAAACTATGACCTTTAATACAGTAGTGTCACCATCTCTATACATGGAGGGACAAAGCAAGGCAGGCTACACCTGGAAAATGATATACTTAAAGATTAGTGTAATACAGCTGAGAACAGTTAGAAGCAGTTACATTTTGTCGTGTTGCTAAAGTTACAGTTGTATCCGAGAGTTAATATTTGGCTTCATGCAATATGCACAGTATATTGTGATTTGACATGGCTAAATGCATAAAAACTATACACATAATAAACTACTAAAAGGTTCATTTGTTAAGTGTCATTACTGCTGTTAGTTAACATTGCAGTTCCGGCCATGGAACAGGACACTTGGGAATAGTCACCACACCTTCTATGTAAACACGGCAATGTCTATACTTATGGGAGGGGTCAACAAATAAATACTTTGCCCAGGAATTTCATCAGAACATTTTTAAGCTGCCATTGCTGACCTCTACATCTGAGAATATTAGTTCCCTGGCTATCATGCTTTTATAAATTACCCAGGGCAAAAACAAGATTTCTGACACTTCTGAAAATCATTTACAATATGTTTGCTCAAGGGTTGTGAATAAAATATATTTAAGGATCAGCAATGGCAGCTCCTGTCTCTGATGACAAGTTTACTTTAAGAGCAAGCTATTTAAATCCCAAAACCATGAATACATCTTTTCTCTACTATAGGGAAGCTAACAGGCAAAATGGCAGCTCAGACTCAGGAACCTTCCTTCCCCAAGTTAGGAAAACAGACAGTAACCCATTGAATGGAACGCCACAACAAAGAAAAGGAGGGTCTAGGTTTTCTGCAGCCAAGCATCTTTATATTCCAGTAAAAACTATACTTGCCAATATTTGGGGACTCTGAATTACCAAAGAAATACATTGTCCAGTTGACCATTGTAGTGGATAAGTAGAAAAAGTGAGTGAGCTATTCATGATCATGTATGTGGTTTTACTAAACAAACCACGTAACAGTGAGAAGATACACTGATCAGCCATAACAATATGATCACTGACAAGCAAAAATGAAAAAAAACACACAGATTATTTTGTTACAATGTCACCTGAAAGTGAGTGTTATATATAAAAAGGCAGCAAGTGAACATGTTGTCCCTGAAGTTGATATATTAAAGCAGAAAAAAATGGGCAAGTGTATTAAGAGCAACTTTGACAATGGCTAAAATGTAATTGCTAGAAAACTGGCTCAGAGCAAATTCAAAAAACTGCAGCTCCCGTTGCCTGCTCCTGGTCTGCAGTGGTCAGGGCCTACCAAAGTGGTCCAAGGAAGGAAAACGAGTGAACCAGTGACAGGGTCATGGGCAGCCATGTTGCACCTGGGGAGCAAAGGCTGGCCCATGTAGTCTTATCCAGTGGAGCAGTGGTCTCCAAACCACGGCCCAGGGGCCGGATGTGGCCCTTGGCTTGCCTTTATCTGGCCCTTGGGGCACTATTCTACCAACTAAACCCACTGAAACCATGTATGGGGAACTATTACTTCCAGTGACAGCATCAATGGGGCACTATTCTTCCCATCGATACCAACAATGGGGCATTATTCCTTCCATTCAAACCAGTGATGATGCCTTGCTTCACCCCACTAACGTCAGGGCATTTTTTACTCCCATTTGGCCACAGTCAGGCTCCTCTAAAGTCTGAAAGAGAGTAAACTGTCCCTTTGCTTAGAAAGTTTGGAGACCCCTGCAATAGAGGATCTACTGTGGCTGAGATTGCTGTAAAAGTTATGCTTCTGATAGAAAGGTGTCAGAACACACAGTGCATTGCAGTTTGTTATGTATGGGGCTGCATAGGGTGTCCATTCTGACCTGCGTCCACAGTCAAAATCACCTATAATGAGCATGTGAGCAGCACAATTGGACCACGAAGCAATGAAAGAAGGTGGCGTGGTCTGATGAATCATGTTTTCTTTTACATTATGCCAAGTGTGTGTGTGCGCAAGTCACTTACCTGGGGAAGAGAGAACACCAGAAGGACAAAAGAAAAGAAAGTAAGCCAGAGGAGTCTCAAAGGATCTGCTGATGGCTTGGTGACAGATACAACAGAATACCTTCAACGGTCTAGTGGAGTCCATGTCTCGACAGGTTAGGACGTTTAGTCAGCAAAAGGGGGACCTGCTCAATATTAGATGGGTGGTCATAATGCTATGGTGGATAATCATAATGTTGTGGCTGATTACTATATGCTCCACTGGAGTATTTCCTATGAGACAAATCTCATTTTTTACAAACAAAAAAAAAAAGCTTTTACCTGCAATACAAACACACAGTACCATGAAGTATAATCAAGTGGCTGTCTATCAGTTCACTGTAAACTACACATGTGTGAACAGGATAAAATCCTGAGCTAATCCTGTCCTGAACCTGATGTAAACCCGACATGACCTGCTGTTCTGAACCTGATGTAAACCTGACATGACCCGCTGTCCTGAACGTGATGTAAACCTGACATGACCCGCTGTCCTGAACCTGATGTAAACCTGACATGAACCACTGAACAACTGTTTCAATTAGTTGTGAAGCCTGAGCTTCAATCTGCCCTGCACATGTGTGAATCAGCACTTTGGCTCTGCTCAACTCTAGGGACCTCTGCACTGTAGAAATGTGCTGCCTGTTCTCCTTGTCACAGCAGCTTAGCTGCTCATCTTAATATTCAAATAACAATACCTCGCACTCTAGTCATCCCAGAGACAGCACGCAGTTAAAAAAGAAAAAAGGAGGTATTCGGAGACTTCACCATACACTCCTTTCCTATGTAGGTGTCACAAGGTCAGTTAACGCTGGGGCCAGTGGGTAAGCAGAACATGTTGCTAGGTGGAGAAAAGAGCAGTTCATTTACTGCTAAGAATGTGTGCAGTATCTTCCTCCAGTTCTTAAATCTTTTTCATCACACTCTCTACATATCCTCATCTGTGACAAACACCACTTATTGAACAACCCAGGACACTGGAGTAGTGGTGGTGGAGTTGGACAAAATGTTAACTATGCTAACCTTGCAGTTATGAATACAGCCTTCAAAAAGCATCTAGATACATTATTTTTAATGTCAATGTGCAGCATGGGGTCCATAGAAGTCAACTGGAGCACATTAAACTGCACAATACATACTTTTTCATGAGCTGCAAATGTATGATTACCGAGACCAGCTCATTGGATTCAGGTGTTCCAATCACCTCCATGGCCACAGATTTATAAAATCAAGCACCTGGGCATGCAGACTGCTTCTACAGACATTTGTGAAAGAATGGGTCGCTCTCAGGAGCTCAGTGAATTTAAGCGTGGTACTGTGATAGGTTGCCACCCATGCAATAAGTCTATCCGTGAAATCTTGCTATTAAATATTCCACGGTCAACTGTTTCCGGTACTATAACAAAGTGGAAGCAACAGGGAACAGCAGCAACTCAGCCACAAAGTGGTAGGCCACGTAAATTGACAGCCGGGTCAGCGCATGCTGAAGCACACAGTGCTTAGAAGTCGCCAACTGTCTGCAGAGTCAATACCTAAAGACCTCCAAACTTCTTGTGGCCTTCAGATTAGCACAACAACAGTGCGTAGAGAGCTTCATGGAATGGGTTTCCATCGCTGGGCAGCTGCATGCAAGCCTTACATGAGCAAGTGCAATGCAAAGCATCGAATGCAGGGGTGTAAAGCACGCCACTACTGGACTCTAAAGCAGTGGAGACGTGTTCTCTGGATTGACCAATCACGCTTCTCTGTCTGGCAATCTGATGGACGTGTCTGGGTTTGACCTTTGCCAGTCTGATGGACGTGTCTGGGTTTGACCTTTGCCAGAAGAATGGTACTTGCCTGACTACATTGTGCCAAGTGTAAAGTGTGGTGGAGGGGGGATTATGGTGTGGGGTTGTTTTTCAGGGGTTAGGCTTGGCACCTTAGTTCCAGTAAAAGGAACTCTTAAGGCATAAATATACCAAGATGTTTTGGACAATTTCATGCTCCCAACTTTGTGGGAACAGTATGGGGATGGCCCCTTCCTGTTCCACCATGACTGCGCACCAGTGCACAAAGCAAGGTCCATAAAGACGTGGATGAGCGAGTTTGGGGTGGAGGAACTTGACTGACCTGCACCTCAACCCGATAGAACACCTGTGGGATGAATTAGAGCAGAGACTGCAAGCCAGGCCTTCTCATTTGACATCAGTGCCTGACCTCACAAATGAACTTCTGGAAGAATGGTCAAACATTCCCATAGACACACTCCTAAACCTTGTGGGCAGACTTCCAAGTGGAGCTGAAGCTGTTATAGTTGCAATGGGTGGGCCAACTCAATATTGAACCCTATGGACTAAGGCTGAGATGCTTTTAAACTTCATGTACGTGTAGAGGCAGGAGTCCTAATACTTTTGGCAATATAGTGTACATTTGAAAAACATGTATAAAAGCATGAAAACATATAGGCTTAAAGCCAACCTACATAAAACTGGAATATAGCAGAACATAATATTACTGCTATTGTCACATCTATAAATTTAGTCTTCGATATACGTTGCACATATTTGGGGGTCCCATTGGATCATCACTATGTTGGGCTGCCTCACTGGCCTACAGGAATGTGTGGGAGGCAAAAAGGCAAACTTTGACACGACCAGAAACATAGCAGCTTTGCCCACCAGAAGGGCCTGATATCCAACAGTTTTTTTGGACAAGTGAACGTATTCTGAGTGTGTATATCAAACATGAACAGGTTATATACATTTTATTGACCCAGCATATCTGTGCTCTAACATACAGTATATATTTTTATTGTTTGCCTTCTATTTGCAAGCACTAAACAGGTTTAGTCTAAGAACTATAGACAAACGAAGCAGTCTTTAACAAATGTGAGCAATGTTTGTAAATTGAAATGAAGTCTATCAATCTCATTCAGCAAGTCACACATTCTAAATACAAAGAACAAGTGAAAAAAAACTTGCCTGAACTTTGGTAGTCTCTGCTGGACTATACTGGACTAGAGTGACTCCTCCACACAGGATGAATACGGAAAACCACTGAAGCTTGCTTAAAGTGCGGTTTAACATTAATACTGTACATAAAGCTGTGCATGGGATTTTCAACTGATATGTCACCTAAAAAGATGGATAAATATGGGGGGGGGGGGGGGGGGGACGACACATGTTTAGGATTTTGCTGCATACTTTCCTAAAGTTCATATGGTACTAGAAAATGTATTCATTACTCTACTAAGCAATTTCTTTCAATGCAATTTACCTGGTACACAGCTGCATCAAGATTACTAAGAGCCAAAAAGGCCATATTATTCTGCAATGCATATACCAGTGAAGGTATAGCCAACTTCATCATCTCCTGCGGACTTCCCAACACATTCTCCTTTAAAGAACTGATCAGTCTACTAGCACTGCCAGTTTCTCTATGGAGAAAAAAAAAAAAAAAAAAAAAAAAAAAAAACATAACTTTCCATTTTCAAAACATATAACAAATTAAACAAGGATTGGAAAAGAAAACTCCATTATACGTGGTGCTCGTTCTCTAAGTGTTTAAAGGCACAGAGAAAGGTTAAAAGGGAAGACATATTGGTTTGGGGTTAGTTTTCTTGTACTACATGTTTAAACTGATGTTTTATGTTCTTTATAAAAAGAAATCTTTGTTTCAGTGCCACAGAAGTCATTTTGTGAACAAAAGCAATAGATTGCCACAAGTGTTGAATTAGATGTAAAATAAAACCATTTAAACTAAACCTACCAGCCTAATATTTCAAAAGTAAAAGGTAGTGGTGCACCGAAATGAAAGTTTTTGGACCAAAACCGAAAAGGGCAGGTTTCTTTTTTAGAAAATATACATATTTTTTATATATAATTGTATTGTATTTGACTTTTTAATTAATATCATGAATTTAAATGAATATGAATTTATTTTCAAAACCTTTTGGCCAATAGGCTACTTTCACACTGAGAAGCTTTTGCAGCGCTTTTGGGTTAAAAAAAAAAAAGGGCAGAAGAAAAGCTCAAGAAAAAATGCATCCTTTTAAATTCAATGTATTTATTCACACTGGTCCATTTCGTTCCCCTTGCGGTGTCCTGCTTGCTGCATTTTTGGCAAGCTAAAAAGAGAAAAAAAAAAAACATCCCCATTGAGGGCTGGTTAACACCAATGTGTTTTGGAGGGCTTTTTGCAGAAACGCACTACAATCCATTTAACATGGTTTCCTATGGGACACGTGCACATCTGCGCTTTTTTGGAACTGTTGGGTTTTTGGGAAAGGGTCAGGGACATTTTTTAAATGAAAAACGTTGCATTTTCGTTTCAGTAGACTTCAGTGGAGATGCTGCAGAAATGCATGCAGTGCATTTTTGACGCGTTATTACACATTTGCCACGTTTTTGATGCATTTTGCATTTTTAATCTTCCCAGCAACAAGTTGGCCATAAAAAAAAAACACACACGCGTGCAAAAGCTGAAAACGAACTGCAAACAGACAAAATGCAAACTGCGTCGGTGTAAACCAGGCCTGAAATGCATTGAAAATGCAGCAAAAAATGCACACGTGTTGCGTTTTTTATGTGTTTTGCCTTTTTAATCGGCCCAGCAACAAGTGGTCCAATAAAAAAAATAATAAAAAAGCATCAAAAAGGCGTCAAAAGCATGCGTGCAAACACACAAAAATGCAAAATGGACAAAACGTAAACTGCACTGGTGTGAACCAGACCTAAAATGTATTGAAAAATGCAGCGAAAAACGCAGCAAAAATGCACGTACTGCGATTTTGATGCGTTTTTACTCTGCCCAGCAACAAGTTGGCCAAAAAAAAGAATAAAATTAAAAACATGCAACAGAAACAATTGAGTACTGTCTGTGATACTTTTTTTATTTGCACTAACATACAATTTTGAGGACAAGCTTTCGGGGTATGTCCCCTTCTTCAAGGTCTAAGCAGTACTATTACAAATCACAAAGTTTAAGCAGAATGTTAAAAGGGATTGAGAAAAAAAAAAAAAAAAAAAAGCTACAGATAAGATACATCAAAAGCGAGGGGGGGGGGGGGGGGGGAATACTACACTCACAGAGGGGGTCAAGCTTTAGCTAATAGATAGTCATAAAGCTGTCGGATAATGGTTGAGGAAACCCATGTCCAAATTAAGGCCGTTATCTTTTGTGTCAAATAGAATTATCATTCTTAGTTCAAATGTTTTTCTTTCCTGGATGGATTTGAATTTTCCTTTCAGAACTAAAATATTGAGGTCTTCCATATTGTGGCCTGGTTGTGAGAAATGGTGTCCTACAGGTGTGCAGAGGTCATCTTCTTTATGTTCCTTCATGGTATGTCTGTGCAAATTCATCCTGTTTTGTAACCTCTGTCCTGTTTCGCCAACATAAGATCCTTTGCTGCGTTTTCTGCACTGGATAAGGTATACAACATTACTGGAGGTGCAGCTGTATGATCCGAGATATTGAAGATCCCTTTTGAGTGTGAGACACTTTTTGATGGATTGATTTGGTTGCACAGTTTGCAGCGTTTCTTATTGCAGGGTTTGCTTCCATTATTTGTGACATAATTCTATTTGACACAAAAACATAACGGCCTTAATTTGGACATGGGTTTCTCAACCATTATCCGACAGCTTTATGACTATCTATTAGCTAAAGCTTGACCCCCTCTGTGTGAGTGTAGTATTCCCCCCCTCCCCCCCTCACTTTTGATGTAACTTATCTGTAGCCTTTTTTTTTTTTTTTTTCAATCCCTTTTAACATTCTGCTTAAACTTTGTGATTTGTAATAGTACTGCTTAGACCTTGAAGAAGGGGACATTCCCTGAAAGCTTGTCCTCAAAATTGTATGTTAGTGCAAATAAAAAAAGTATCACGGACAGTACTCAATTGTTTCTGTCGCAAATGCACTAATACAGCTACAATCACCTCAAGCAAAAACATGCAAAAAAACACTGCAAAATGGACAAAACACAAACTGCATTGGTGTGAAAAAGGCCTAAAATGTATTGAAAACCCATAAAAAAAAACACACATGTTGTGTTTTAATGCGTTGTCTTTTTTTTTTTGTCACATGACCTATGAAAAATGCACCCTAAAACGTAGTAAAACCGCTGCAGAAAAAAACGTACATTTTCAGCGGCCATTATCGCCACCTTTTCCTATCGCCAAAATGCCGATAACATTATTTTTGGCCGATACATTTCGATCAACAATATATCGGTGCATCCCTACTAAAAGGTGTGTTTAATTAAAGGGTAATTCCACAAGGACCCCATTCTGGAGCTACGACCAGCCACCAGCCCCACTATTTAGGCCTCATTCACACATCTGGGTAGGCCAGACAATGGATTCCTGCAGCTTTTTACAACAGGTGCATGCAAACAGTTGCGGCTGGTTAACCTGTATAACGCAATGACAGGCGCTGTTGCTCTCCACTGTTGTTCTCATGTATCTGCACATCTAATGGTTACCTGCGAACAGGAACAAATAAGTGGCCCTGGACATAGACAACAGCTCCTGTCAGTCCGCCATTACTTTGTACAAGCTGACTGTTCGACTCCTGTGGCTGGAATCACAGGTATATGCAAATTATTGCCGCAGGAACCAGCTAAAGACCCTGTTCAGATGTGTGAATGCGGCCTTAAAGGATTTGTTCACCTTCGTGAACATGTTCCACCCATTTTTAGGGTGGAACATGTTCCAGCTCCTGCAGCTCTCCCCACCCAGGCACATCATTCATTTGCAGAGGTTTGTGAATGAACAGACTACAAATACCGACAGCCTCTGAGGCCGACGTCTTGTAGTAATCAAAGACTTGCAAGGGTGCTGGTGAGCACCCCTGCAATTCATGGATTCTTCCTGGACTGAAGTAACTGCCTGCCCGTATCGGAGGTACAAGCAGACAGCTACACTGACAGTCTGCAGAAGCCCAACATTGCACCTGTGATCTCCTGATCGTGGGTGCAATGCTTTACAGGCTCCTAAGAAAAAAAAAAAAAAAAGTAAAAACGCACTTTTTTTTTACCTGCAAAAAAAAAATGTGCACTTATCTGACACAGCCAAAGTTCCTACTGCTGTGCCATAATGATTCCCACGCAGAAACTAAGAGGCACACTATTGATTGAATTGGAGGGAATAAATATTAAAGGACAGATTACATAAGGGAGAGGCATGGAGCTCATTGAAGTGCATTGTATTTATTTGTGGTGTACAGTATTAAACAAACGGGCATGACCATAATTAAGAGGCACTATTTATCATAAGAAACATTTGTTGGCACATAACAAATTAACATGTTCAGTGTGTTAACACAAGCATTGTGGTATGAACAGATCCCTATGGTGCATGATATCAATTGGAATTCTCAGTATGACAAAACTCTGCAGCGAAATAAACCCAAAATATAAATGTGTTTAAGACAAGAGAATCCACTGATATAGGTGGTTAATCAAGTTCTAAGGATGCAGGCTATAAACATTTAATGTAATTAGATGATCTGTATGAGGCTGGAAAGTACAGGCATACCTCGGTTTACTAATTTAATTCGTTCTGCAGGACTTTTCATATAGCGAAAAATTCATAAACCGAAACGTTGTTTCCCATAGGAATGCATCAAAAACCAATTAATTCGTTCTGGAGATCAGAAAAAACTAAACGCTACTAAAATACCACATGAGTTATTTTATCAAGTCATGCAGTATTTTAGTAATGACAACCACGTGTTAAATGTTTCAGCTGTCAGTGGGATTCCCCACTGACAGCTGAATGTAAAAGAAGCTGGCATTTAAAAAAAATAAATGGTGTGGGGTCCCCCTTCCCATCCACACCAAGCCCTTTGGGTTTGGTATGGATTTTGAAAGGAACTCCCACACCAAAATGTAAAAAAAAAAAAAAAAAAAAGGCGTGGGGGTTCCCCCCAAAATCCATACCAGATCCTTATGCAAGCATGCAGCCCGGCAGGTCTGGAAAGGGAGAGAGACCCCCCCCCCACTCCTGAACCATACCAGGCCACATGCTTTGGGGCAGGGGGGCTCCCTCCGCCCCCCACAGCACCTTGTTCCCATGTTGATGGGAACAAGGGCCTCTTCCCCACAACCCTGGGCCCCCAGATCCTGCCCCCCCCCATGTGAATGAGTGTGGGGTACATGGTCTCGATACTCATTCACAAAAAACAAAGTGTAGTATGAAAAAGACAGGACATGGCCTTTGACAAGTCCTTTATTAAAAGAAAAAACTAAAAGAATGTCCCCCACAGTAGATCCAACGTCAATCTCGATGGCCGCCGCCGCCGACCCCGAAAAAAGAATTTAAAAAAAATAGGCTCGGCTTCCGATGATGGCTTCCAGCCGTCTGCCTGCTCCGGTGGTTTGACAGTTCTTAAATAAGTAAGGGTTACTTTCAGATTCTGATAAACCCCCTGCCCGCAGACCCCCACAACCACCGGCCAGGGTTGTGGGGAAGAGGCCCTTGTCCCCATCAACATGGGGACAAGGTGCTTTGGGGGGCGGAGGGAGCCCCCCATGCCCCAAAGCACCTCCCCATGTTGAAGGCATGTGGCCTGGTATGGTACAGGAGGGGGGGGTGCTCGCTCGCCCCCCCCCCCCTTTCCTGACCTGCATGTTTGGATAAGGGTCTGGTATCGATTTTGGGGGGGACCCCGCTCCATTTTTTTTTTTAAATTGTGGCGTGGTAGTTCCCCTCAAAATCCATACCAGACCCGAAGGGCTTGATATGGATGGGAGGAGGGGACCCCATGCTGTTTTTTTATTTATTATGGTGCCGGTTTTTAAATGTAATTACTGGGGTTTTTTTCCTTCACTATAGCTCAGAAATTCAGCTGTCACTTTCCCCCAGCTAAAAGAGAAAGTTTCTTTTTAGTTTATTTCCCCAAGTTAAAAGAAATAATGTTTCCTTTTAGTTTCTTAAAAGAAACAAAGCTTCCTTTAATTCCAGGGAAAGTGACAGCTCTGTGAGCTATAGTGAAGAAAAAAAAAAAAAAAGGAGGCAATTGCATTTAAAAATCGTCACCGACATACACTTTGTATAGCTAAAAAAGAAAAAAAAAAATCGTAAAAGATTTGTAAACCGAGGCATTATTTTCAATGGATTTTCATTCGTAAAACGAAAATTACATTAACCAAGGCATTTGTAAACCGACGTACACCTGTAATATAGTTACGGATTACCTGCAGAATAAGAAGTCCAATCAGTTCATGTATGTTAGCAGAAACTGGCCTTTGAACTGGGAAAGGCATAGCATACCAGATGCTCAGCATTCATGAAATATAGCATTTGTGTGTAAGGAATGATTTCTTACAAACATTTGAAAATGTAATTGCCAACTGCTAAACCTGAGAGATAGAAGTCTCAAACCTATAAATATGCCAATGCATGTGCATTGAAAAAAAATATCAAATCTACATATTAGGAGAAGCCCTCAACCAATTAAATACTATTCAGGTGCGCCCATTATATTGTGACTCCCATTGTCTGGATAATGATCAGTTCAATATGGCGGCGAAATCTTGCACATGAGCCTGTGCAAAATAATCTGTTTCTATCTACATATTACAGGAGACAAAAGGGTAGAAACAGCACACATTACAGAGTATGCACAATGCACAAGCACTCCCATATCATATAAAGCACTATGCGTGCGTGGGGCATACGTTTGTCAGTTTACAATGAAAAAATAGCAACATCTTGACAAATTAATTTCTTCATACAACATGAAACCATTTTTATTGTTGACAACCACAACAAAAACTCTTTACAATGCACACCCCAGTCACATCAAACTCTACTTTGAAATTGTGCGACTTACAGTGACGTTGCTCGATTTCAAAGTTGGATGACATGCCGACTTCAGGTGCGAATTGCAAGACATCTAATGCAGATGTCTATGCAAATCACACCAAAAGTAGTGCATGTACTACTTTAGAAATCGGTGCGGCTCCGACCAAGTTGGAACCGCACCGAATGACCACTCTAATTGCGTGCAATAAACTGCGATTTCGCATGCGATTTGCAAGTCACATGGTATGCAAATCGCATGCCAATTCGCATACAGTGTGACCGGGGTCTTATAGTTCTAATATTTGACATGTAAGTAAACTCCTAATCTTTCCAGGCACACAACAACTATTTACCCTCACTCAGCAATATTTTCACCACTATATCTATAAGACAATAATGAATACAAGGGGAAAATGAACTCCCTTTTTGTTTCACATATCCTTCAATTATTATATTGATGCGCTTTTAAACATTTCCAATATGGGTCTGTTTATTTGGTGATAACTTTTGTCATTGAGTATAACCAAGTTATGTAACTAGGCTTTTGTCTAGCTACCATGTCTTTCAAAAATTATTTTATTTTTGTATGTAGCCAATAGACAAAAAGGGTTATTTACTAAACCTGGAGAGTGCAAAATCTGGTGCAGCTCTGCATAGAAACCAATCAGCTTCCAGGTTTTATTGTCAAAGCTTACCTGAACAAACTGAGGTTAAAAGCTGATTGGATACCATGCACAGCTGCACTATATTCTGAGTGCTCTAGTTTTAGTGAATCTCCCCCAAAGATGTAAAAATGAAAAGTACTACAGGCTGAACTTTAACCCCTAGAGGTAATAACCATTTGATTGTTGCAGTACAGGGTAAAAGGAGGGGCTGCCCACTGCACAGGTGGATTTTGTCATTTTCCTGGAGATGGACTTTAAAGTGTTACTAAACCCACAACAGTAAAATCAGTCTGTATATGCAGTAAACTATGCTTGTTATACTCACTGTAGAACCTAAGGGGTTAATCCTCTGCATTGTGTAAAAAGGCCATTTGATCCTTTCTTCTCTGTTCCTCCCATTTTTTTTCAAGCAACCACCTCTTATCTCCTGATAAGACAGACTGAACAGTAGGCATTGTGCACATGCTCAGTTTAGAGGTTTTTTTTTTTTTTCTTGGGATAGTACGTGTGACCAGCACAGGGCCAATCAGCACTGGTCAGACAGAGGCCTCGGGTTTTGCATCCTCCTAGAGCAGAAAGAAAACTCCTCCTAAAAGCTTTAGCTAGTGTTTGGCTGAACACTGATAGAGGCCACAAGACTGCTATAACTGCCGATGAAAAAATATATTTAGCAGTTTATATTTACTAAAACAATTGCACTTCCATGATGTGTGTACTGTGGGAGACCAGATATAGTGAATGCAGGGTCCTGGGTTTAGTAACACTTTACGTTATTGTAGGGGAATAGTAGAACCCGTCAGTTTTTTGTATTGTTGCTTTTTTTTCCCTGTTTCAGATTTCCATTACTTCTCATCTGGTAAAAGGTTGTCCCCATAATGAAAACCAAGTAAAACCTGGCAGGGGGTTCTAAATCTTCCCCACACTATCCAAAACTTAAAAAAAAAAAAAAAAAAAAAAAAAAAAAATTGGCTATATATGCAATTCAAATAGGATTAAGATAGGAAGAAATAGTAAATACAATATAATACATTGTTACACTATATTAATTCAATGCAGCTTGCAGATTATTGGCTGCTATGTTAAATAATGCCAATAAAAGTGATGGTGGAGAGGAGCAGGCATAGGGGATAAACCCTAGTCTTGTAAGGCTTAGGGGTTATGCACACTGCAGCTGCTAAACTCACGTTTAGGAGCTGTTCAGCATTTTTTTTTCAGCAGCCCCTGAACTCACCCTAATGTTTTCCTATGTGTCCGTGTACACATCTTTGTTTACAGTCATTTACAGGCATTTGAGTTTACAGTGGTGTTTTTGAACGCACCAAACTTGCGTTCAGCAGTCAATTTTATCAGCATTTCAAACGCAAAACGCTTGTAAACGCGGCTAAACGCAGCAAATCGCATTTATAAGCATTTTTAAAGGTTTTTAACTCTTCCGGTTCCCCATGCTGTCCAGAGCCTTTTTTCATCAAGAACAATGCATGCAAAGCGTTTTCAAGGTACTCAGATGGACAAAACTCTGAACATAGGATGTTCCCACCAAGCTTGTCACACATTGAAATGACCAATTCACACCTCAGACCTCTCCCACCTTTGGAAACAAAAGATATGTTAATGACCATTCACACCTCAAATTCCTCATGAAGACCCCCAGCCAGGTGGTCTTAATGACTCACTCACCAGACACCTTCCCACTCTTGGAAACAAAAGAAATGTTAATGAGCAACTCACACCTAATTATCTCAACACATACTGCTCTCTCTGCTTCTACTCTTTGTATTTCTCTGAAACAGTCTGAAATAGTTAATAATTTGCCACTTTTCAGTGCATTCTGGGCATTTGGGTGGTTCTCCTGTGCTTATCTTTAAAATTGCTTCTAAATGCAAACGCGCAAAATCGCGTTATGCAAACGTGGCTAAACAGACATTTTTTAACCTATGTTTTCCAGCAGTCAGTTTCCATCTTTCAGAAGTGTACATGGGGCCTTATCTGCTAAGCCCGAGTGCCTCAATTGGCTAAACTACACACATACAGCTACTCTGGGATGCACACATTCCTGCCACACCACAGTCCAGAGAGTGAAACTTCTCTATGCCAAAGATGGATTATCTTTCTGGGCCACTGACCTAGAACAAGTATCCTTGCTCTTCTATCTGAAACTATAGCAACATTTTTAAAGCATTCATAAACCATTCTCTAACTGTAGTCCATCGCAGCCTAAAGCACAAGACCAAGCGTAAACATTTTTTTGTTAGCAAATACATTACTGTCACTTTTTTGGCTAACAACAGAATAATAAAGGAATGTGAGACTTACTTTGCCAGGATAACCACACTCAGTAATAACTTTATAACCTCAGTCACACAAACTGCCGTCGTAGAAAAGTACATTTCCGTTCTTACTGTTCTTGTGTATCGTAGAGCTATGGTGTATGCAGCAGCTACCAGAGTCATTACCAGCAAACAATACAGCTTAAAAAGCAAGCTGACATTCTCTGAGGAAAAGGAAAAGACACAATGAAAATAGAACACTGAAATCACATTACAGGGAATACATGCTGTCTACTTGAGTTGCTGTAAATTCAAAACTGCAAGACAAGATCTTTTACTGAATGAGGAATCTTCCAGGTTATAAATCTCCAAAGCAAAATCTGATCCAAAAAGACAAGGTACTATTGCCTCTGACCTTGATTGGGAGATTACCTTATGTGCTTGGTGTGACTGATTGCCAGCAGCTAACTCAAAGTATATCCACATAGGAATACACCAACAATTATTTTAAGAGGACCTGGAATTGTGGAAGCTGTGCCAAAATTGTCACCTGAGCAAAAACAAAGGGATAATCTTCTCATTGGCACGCATGTTCCAATGAAACTGTATAGAATTAGAATTGCCTTCACTTTAGAGAAGAAACTGATTTTGTAACCCTTCCCTACACTTTTCAAAACATTAGCCGAGTTATCATTAAACCACACATACTCCAGCAAAATCAATGTTGTCCTGCTAGAATCTTGCATTCAGATCCCGCATCTTTATTTTCTTTGCTTACATTATCTGCAACTGGCTGTCTCCTCTGGGTTCATGCAGCCGGCCCCCCAATGTCATGTCTTGACACATGTGTATCTGAACCAAGCAGACTTGAAGCTTCCTGGGATCTACTACAATGTAAGAGTTTTAGGTGGCTGTGGATAGCTGGGGCTACATCATTCTCACCTCTAGGTGAGGAAGGCAGAAAATAAATGGTATTTTCCATAAAAAAAAAAAAAAAAAAAAGGCTGCTCTAAGAAAGGAGTGAAAGAACAAATATATAAAAAGTAAAAAAAGAAAGTGAAGGGCCTCTTAAACATGCACTTGTGCCCAAACTATGGACATTAAAGAGGAGCTCCAGTCTACTGTTCAAAAAACTAAAGTCAGCAGCTACAAGAACTGTAGCTACTGACTTTTAATAATTAAAACAGCCACTCACCTGTCCCACAATCCAGCATTGTGCTCACCCCCCCCCATGTCAACTGTGGGCACCCGGCTGTGACAGCTTGTGAATTCACAGCCAGGTACTCACTGTGCATGCGCAAGCTGCATTACGCATTGTGAATGGTCCCGCAGTCTTCTGGGACTTGTCACATGTCTCAGAAGATTGCGGGGAGGGAGAACCTCCTCTTAATATCGCCTAGGCGGTTGGAGCAGAAGTGGGAGTAACCACTCCCCACCCCCCCAAAAGTGCCAGCTCTTTACCAGGAGCTGGACGGGAGGCCTTAAAGCAGAACTTCCCCTTCTGGGCGGAGCTCCATTTTAAATTATTCACATACACTCAGCAAGCACTAAAAGAGCTTTAAAACTAGCTATGTCTGGCTTCTCTGATTTTACTGTGAAAGAATTCTCAAATAACCTACAAGAGCACAACGAAGACTTGCACAGCTTAGAAGCACCTGTTGTGTGTTTGAGTCTGCTGGCAAGATTCTAATGCAATTTTAAGTACTATGGAGAAAAAAGTAAAAAAAGCAAAAAAAAATGTCTATGTCTTTGTTTTTTTCTCTACAATGCTTACAGCCATATAGGTAAGAGAGGGCTTCTTTTAGAGTGCTTTTGCAGCTTGCTCAGAAAATGTGAACACTTTAGGGTGCATATTATGGGTGGAGATTCACTTCATTCTCATTAAAGCTGGCCATACACTATACAATTGTACAATCGCTGTATTAGATTTAACAAGACTATATAACATGAGGACAAACCTAAACAATCCATTCAAACAGTATCAACTCAGGCTGGTCCCTGCGCTACATAGTTGATGGTAGATCAAAAGGCAAGTATCAGGTTGTATAGTGTACAGTCAAACGTAGGTTTTATGAACTAATAAACTTACCTTTAGAAAAGTTCATAGGCTGCTGCTAGTGAGCTTTTGGAAATGATAGTACTCTTATTTATTTACCTGTTTTTAACCTGCAAACTGTCTGAAAATTGCAACTTCACTTGCTGCCTGTCTAGTCCTGTCCTTGTCAGCAAAAGAAATAAAGAAAGCCAGGCAGCTAGCATTTACCAACAATTAGCAATACATGTGGACAGCAACAGCTGCCCACATTTCTTTCATGACATATCTTTGTTCAAAACCCAACTGAAAAATTGTGTAGACATTTTTATATTGATGGCCAAAATGTTATTTACAGTTTTTCTGAGAGCTGTACTGGGATTTTTGTTGGGAGCCCAAGAACATGCGTTCCTAGAGAATACATGTCATACTGTAGACAGCCTCTCAACTATTTTACCCTGAAGGATCAGTTTAAATAATTCTATAACTATAATTTACAGTAACACAGCCTATTCAGTAAGCTGTTGAAAAAATTTACAGGCAAAGATCACCTCATTAATAAATAAATGCACATTTTTGCGGGTGTAAAAAAAAAAAAAAAAAAAGCTGCAGAGAATTGCACCCACAATCATCAGATCACAGGTGCAATTTTAGGCTCCTGCAGACTCTCAGTACACGGTCTACCTGTACCTCCACTATGGGCAGGCAGTTATTAATGTCCAGGAAGATCAATGAACAATGAGAGCACTCATCAGTGCCCTTGCAGTTCATTGAGAACTACAAGTCACCAGCCACAATGGCTGACGGTACTTCAAGTCCATTGTTTCACAGAACTCTGTGAATGAATGATGCAGCTGTGTAGGCCGAGTCCCGCACAGCCATAGTGTATTAAAATTGTGACAGTGGGTACAGGAAGAAGATCCCCCACTTGCTGTCACACTGGGGGATCGGGTCGGGGTGCCGACAGGTGCTTTAGTAACATGTTACACCTCTTACAAAAGGTGACTTTATCCTTTAAATATGGAATACCTAGAATGTCTGACACCCAGAGCAGATTAATATAAAACACTTTCTTGCTTTATATGACAAAAATACTCACAAAATGATAGACAGAAAAGATACATAGACTGTGAAATGTTTTTTGTTTTGTTTTTTTAACAGAAGGAAGACTGAGAAATGTTTAACTATCCCCTTATACTAGTCACCATTCAGAGAAGGGCCCCCTCAACACGGGAACTCGGGGGACAAAGGGCCTCCTTGCATGAGTGCTCAGTGGACAAAGATCCTAATACATTGGATGCTCAGTGGCAAAAGACCCCACTGCATGGGTGCTCACTGGAAAAAGACCCCACTGCATGGGTGCCCAGTGGAAGAAGACCCCACTGCATGGGTGCCCAGTGGAAGAAGACCCCACTGCATGGGTGCCCAGTGGAAGAAGACCCCACTGCATGGGTGCCCAGTGGAAGAAGACCCCACTGCACCCCACTGCATGGGTGCCCGTGGAAGAAGACCCCATTACATAAGTGCTCATTGGAAAAAGATCCCATCACATGGGAGCTCATTGGAAAAAGACCCCATTACATGGGTGCTCAGTGGAAAATTGCACCCATAAGGTGACCATACGCTATACAATCTCATTGTGCAATCTCCTTCAGATCTATCCCCAACTATGTAATGCAAGAGCCTGCCTGATGTGCTGCAAACTGAATGGATTGTTTAGGTGTGTTCTCCTATGACAGCGGTCACTAAATGGTGGACCGTGGTCGGAGAATGGCCCCAGCAGCGCTCCCTTCCGGCCCGCAATGACAGATCCACCGCTGAGCAGGGCGGTTGTCACAGAAACATGACATCACAGTGTGCGCACCACCCCTTGCAGCAGGGGCGTAGATAAGGGGGAAGTCAGGGGGTCTGAACCCCCCCCCCCCCCCCCCCGAGGATAGTTGGGGGTGGCGAGCAGTGTCAGCACTAGGGGTGTGTGGGAGGGGTGGCGGTGGGGGCAGTAGCAAGCAGCAATCTCTTGTATGGCTTTCAATAAAGCATCTGTAAGCTGCAGGATGAGAGGAGGAGGAGAAACAGCTTCCAGCTGCTTTATTGAAAGCCATACAGGAGATCGCTGCTTGTTACCACCCCCACTGCTGCAGAGAATTTACCTGACGGCTCAGTTTTCTTTCTACCCCCTCCCACCGCCGCAGTGTTCTTCTCAATGCCAAGCCCCTCCTTCCATCCTCCACACCAATAGGAGAAGAGGGGAGAGAGGCTGGATCTGCTCTGAGAGGATTCAGAGGATTTGTGGGCAGGAAATTGAACACAGCAGCCAACAGCCTGATGCATCTGAATAAGTCACATTAGTCCAACCTGCCTTCCACCCACCCCTTCCTTGCTACGGAAATTTTACAGTTCTCATTTTTTTTATAGACATACAGTGACTACACTCTGAGTCATAGCACAAACATGAGATTTGGACCTCGGCCAGAAGAAAATTTTAGTGACCGGACCTCCTTAAATTTTATTTCAATACCCCTGTCCTATGATATAGTCTTGTGAAATCTAAAAGTGATGGTGCAATCAGATTCCTAGATTGTAAGCTCGAAAGAGCAGGGCCCTCAATCCCCTCATGTTTTGCATTGTATTGGTATTGTTCTGTCCCCCTTTGTAATGTACAGCGCTGAGCGAACTATTGGTGCTTTTTTTAAATACTGTATAATAATCATAATAATATCAACTACAGCCAGCATCATATGGAAGATCCGTCTGTGTAAGCAGTAGATGAATCTGTCATTGGTCAGGGAGGCTCTGGTAACCTCTAGAATAACCCTGGTAGATACAGAATGCTGTAGCATAGTGGCATATGTCCAGGTTCTCCAGAATTTGCATAAATGTCTTCACATAAACCCAAAGCATACAGGTAGGCTGTCTGGATTTTTAACCCTGGTATGTCTGTCCACCATGGGAGTGTATGCACCTTCCAACAGAGACTGGAGTGCATGATCTCTGTGCTTTGTAAATGTTCAGATTTATTTTATTTTTTCCTCTCATATATATTATATAATATGATCTCTTTGCTTTGTACATATTCATATTTATTTTATCCTCTCATATATTCTATAATATGATCTCTATGCTTTGTAGATGTTCATAAATGTATTTTATTCTTTTTCCTATATATAAATATATAATGTTCTCTATGCTTTGTAGATGTTCATATTTATTCTCTTGATCGATCCCAGTACTGACTGTGGATCACCTATGGTCCTGTCCACACATTACTCTTCTCTAGTAAGTGCATAGACAGGATGAGAGCCCTGTGATGAGACCTGTCATCTCTCACCCACAGAGCACACTCATGGACACTGGACACAAACAGGACTCTTCAGTGATCCACAAGACTTCCATCATTCCAGCCCCAAGGTGTTTGACCTAGCGGTGTCTCTCATTGCAGTATTCTACTATGCAGAGAGCTCATTGCAGCACAAAGCAGCAGCCTTCTCTCCTTCATACACATAGCCATGGAGTATATGCTCTCATGAATTGACCCTGCCTCAGCTCCCTCACATTCACGGTTCTGTCCCAGCACTGACAGTGGCAGTACACAACTCACCCCGGGCTGCCATAGCGGTTCGTACAGCACGGCACTCACTTCCATACATACACTGATCAGCTGAACGGTGTAACCCGGAAATGACGTTTCTGCCTGTGCTCTGCCTCAGAGGCGGAGAGCAGCGTCTATAGATGGAAGCGGATGTGGAGGGCTGTGAGAGGCTGGACTAAGCTTTCATACAGATGACTAGACTCAGTGTCAGGTGTTGGGGACTGTGCGTTTTGTTAGTTTTATGCATGCAGTGAGTTATAGATGTGTTAAGGGATGCAAATGTACTCCTGAAACATGGAATTGATTTGGTGTGTTGTGACAAAAACTCTACATTTGCATCGGTGCGCGGCGACAACACTACATTTGCATCGGTGCGCGGCGACAACACTGTATTCGCATCGGTGCGCGGCGACAACACTGTATTCGCATCGGTGCGCGGCGACAACACTGTATTCGCATCGGTGCGCGGCGTCAATACTGTATTTACATCGGTGCGCGGCGACAACACTGTATTTACATCGGTGCGCGGCGACAACACTGTATTCGCATCGGTGCGCGGCGACAACACTACATTTACATCGGTGCGCGGCGACAACACTACATTTACATCGGTGCGCGGCGACAACACTGTATTCGCATCGGTGCGCGGCGACAACACTATATTTACATCGGTGTGTGGCAACACTACATTTACATCGGTGCGCGGCGACAACACTATTTTACATCGGTGCGCGGCGACAACACTACATTTACATCGGTGCGCGGCGACAACACTACATTTACATCGGTGCGCGGCGACAACACTACATTTACATCGGTGCGCGGCGACAACACTATATTTACATCGGTGTTGGCAACACTACATTTACGGGTGCGGGACAACACTATATTTACATCAGTGCGCGTTGACAAAACTATACATTTTTATCGGTGCACGGAGACAACACTGTATTTGCATCGGTGCGTGGCGACAAACACTACATTTACATCGGTGTGCGGCAACACTACATTTACATCAGTGCGCGTTGACAACACTATACATTTTTTATCGGTGCACGGAGACAACACTGTATTTGCATCGGTGCGCGGTGACAACACTACATTTGCATCGGTGCACGGTGACAACACTACATTTGCATCAGTGCGCGGCGAGAACACTACATTTGCATCGGTGCGTGGTGACAACACTACATTTGCATCGGTGCGCGGTGACAACACTACATTTGCATTGGTGCGCGGCGACAACACTACATTTGCATTGGTGCGCGGTGAGAACACTACATTTGCATCGGTGCGCGGTGACAACACTACATTTGCATCGGTGCGCGGTGACAACACTGCATTTGCATCGGTGCGCGGTGACTTCCACAGGATTGGGAGCACTCCTTTATTTGTTGTTTTGTGCTCATGTCTCATTGCTGGTCGGATGAGTTGTTGGAGCTGCCCATGCTGTGGTTATTCACATATCCCCTGGAACCTCATTGCGCTTGGTATTTATACCTTTTTTTTTTTTACCTGGAATGCAAAAAAAAACTAAAACTACAAAAGGCCAAAGATGTGTGAGAAAAGAAACTGATTTTTCTTCAGATGAATATGTTTTTCAGTCCAAAAGTTGCACTTCATCTTTGTAGGCATGGTGTGTTGAGTCAGGAGCTATGAGTCACATGACTAATGACAGAAATGTCTTTATTCACCTTGACCAGAGTAACATAGAAAAAAAATCACCACAGCTAATGGGCAAATGATGAAATCAGAAGGAATAGGAGACCGATTTCGTTACTGTCCTATTTCCCAGAGTGTCACCAGAAAGGTACCTGTGAAAAATGTCCTGTATGTTTCTGCTCTTGAAAGTGATCTTTTGTCAGTGAAGAAGTTCACAAAACAAGGCAATGTAGTGACCTTCCAAGGTGACAGTTGTGCATCACAAAACTGACTTTCTAGAACAGCCTTTCTCAACCAGGGTGCCTTGAGGTTTCTTCAGGGGTGCCTAGGAAAAATGTCTAAAAAGTACCCAAAACTTGTACACAAGCCAGCAGGTGAAACAAGCCTGCCTTTTAGACACACAAAGGCCCAGGTTTCCATTGTGCACCATTAGGACATTCTAGCTTTCGGTGTCCTGACAACTAAAGACATCATCAGTTGATAAGGAGGATGTCAGCTGCCTGCACAGCATCCTAGTTTGACCCTCCCCAACCCTCTCTATCAGTGCTGGGGTCACAATAGCTGAGTGATGGAGAAAAACTGAGGGAGAAGAGAAACACTGGAATACTGGTCAGTACCAGGTTGCAAAAGTGTATTTGCTTTGGAAGAATAAATCACCTCTAAGGCCCTTGAAGACGTCGGATGATGAAGCGCGTAGGGCGGGGCTTAGTGGATGGGACGTCAGGACGCTCCTCGAGACTGTCAGCTGTGATCGCGGTGAGCGAGGCTCGTCCCTGCTTTAGCTTTTTGAGACTGATATTGCTGGTGTCGGTTGGACACCTTTCTTCTGAGTGCATATTTAAGGCTACAATAAAAATTATCTTTGTTTTAATATACTGCACCATGATACTCTTCTTTGATTCCCCGAGCATTTCTTAAGTTATGAAGGCATGATGACCACTTGCAGTTAAGGCTGTTCCATGTGTGGTGATTGCAGTCTATTGCTCCTGGATACTCCAACAGATCATCGCTCCCAGAGCAATTGCTATTTTTGCTGATTTATAATTTGATCAGCAAATAGCTCTGGTGAGTTTACCCATTTCATTCAGTGGTGGATTTTGCTACACGGTGTTTTTAGATTTTTTAATCACTTATATTGGTGTTTGGACTTATATATGAATTACGGACATTTAAAAATGTATTTTTTATTTTATTTATGTATTTTTCTGCATTTTCATGTGATTTGGTATTTAGCGCATTCCTTTTATATATTTTTTGTCACTGTTCTAGCTACATCCAAATTCTGAATCAAAGTGAGACAGTATATAATGCACATACAGTTAACGTCTGCAAAACAGTAACAGTAGCATTTAAATAACCAACAATTTTGCATATAAAAGAGTCACTTATGTACATATACCTATGTCACGTTGCACCCCCACCCCCCTTTGCCTGCTGTCCTCTCTGCCCGGCCTGTAATCCACTTCCCCCTCCTCCCTTGCAGATTCCTCACATCCTGTCACAGCCTACTTCAATGGCTGTGCAGGATGGGAGGAAGCGGCCCCTGTGGTGCGGGTCGCACCTCTCCCGACAATGTCGCCGGAGAGTCGCGACCCCCCCCCCCCACCAGGAGACCCCGGCGCAGTCTGCCGGGGTGTCTCCGCATGTCCCCCCGGCGGACGCAGCGCAGGCACGAGGCTTCCCGCACCCTGCGCCTGCCGGAGACAAAGGCCGCACTCACGCGTGCGGCCAGAGTCAGGGGGGCGTGCCTCATTGCCCTGGCAACAGGACGCTGGGCCGGCCGTTGCCGGGGCAACCGGGAAGCGTCCTCCTCTGGCTTTAAGAAGGCTGGCTCGGGACCCAGCCCGTGTCTTCTGCTGGTCCCTGGAGCTGCTTCCGGGAGGTCTGAGTTTAGACCTACCTCCGCAGCCATCCCCGCTGAGCACTCTGCCTAACTCTGTGCCAGGATTACCCACTGCCGCTGCGTGCCCAGAAATACTCGCTGTGGGCCCAGAGATACTCTGCCGCAATACTCGCTGGGAGCCCAGGAATACCCTGCTACAATACTCCGTTGTGGGCCTAGACATACCCTGTTGGATTGCCTGCTGTGTGTCTGGAAATACTCTGTCGGATTATCTGCTGTGTACTAAGGAGTATCGTTGCCTGCTGCTGGCTGTGTGTGCCAGAGGTGACCCCTGCCAGAACTGTGAGTGTCCATACCCCTACTTTTCCCTGCCTGGTCTGTCCGTGAATCCCCCTACTGTTTCCTGCCTGGACTATCCGTGAACCCCCCTACATTACCCTGTCTGGACTGTCCGTCAATCCCCCTACTGTTCCCTGCCTTTACTATCTGTGAACCCCCCTACATTACCCTGCCTGGATTATTACTTGCCAGAGACTCAAACTTGCCCTACCTGGGGCCTGAGTACAATTATTTTGCCCCCCCCACTCTCATTCCCTGCTTTGGGTACTTGGACGCTACCCTCAGACCCAAACTGAGTGCTTGCCATAGTTTAATAAAGCTTTGTGTGTTTATCCTCTTCTCTGTGTGTTCTGTCCTGCCTACGCTCTTGTCACATACTGGTTGGCAGCGGTGGGATCAGAACACTGTAGGGGATGATGGACAACAATAGCCAACTGACTCTGGACCCAGTCCGGCCCAGTGAGTACAGGAACTGGACTGTGGCGAGTTTCCAGGAGAAGGCCCGGGAACTGGGCCTCTCCAGAAAGGGCCTATCTTAAGGAGGAGCAGGTCACCGCCATTGAGGAGGCCGCCCCCCGAGGGGCTGAAAATGGGGAGGCCCACCAACCAGAGATGGCCCACACATACAATGACCGAAGCCCCAGGAGCCGTTGGGTCACTTGGTACAAGCAGGAGATGGCCATCCTCGGTCCCGAAACCACCTTGGATGACAAACGGGCGGCTATCCAGAGAGCTCATGAGAGGGAAACCCTGAGGGATCTTAAGGGATGAGGCGCCCTCCCCAGCACACAAGCTCTTATGCCTGACCTACCAAGGGTGACCCGTAAGGACTTCAAGCCATTTTGTGAAGTTGCAGGGGATGTGGATGGATTTTTCAAAGATTTTGAACATTTGTGCCAATTGCTGGATGTGCCCTGTGTGGACTGGGTGCACCACCTGGTAGGCCTGCTAGAAGGGGGCGCTGCTGTGGCATACCCAACAATGGACTCACAATGGAATCGAGACTATGACAGGGTCAAACAGACTGTGCTTCAGTACTATGCTGTGACCCGGGAAACCTACAGGATTCATTTTTGAGATTTGTCCTGCAACTCGGAGACCTCCTTCAAGATGTATGCTCACAAAATGTCACAGGCCTGTCGTCGCTGGAGAGAGGGCGAACAAGCCCTCTCAGTTGAGTGTATTATCCAGACTTTCCTGAAGGAACAATTTTATGACAAGTGCCCCTCTGAGGT